ATTTTAGTTAACTAAAATGTATTTTCAGTTTCAGCTTTTGTTATTTAGTTAGTTTTAGTTAACTATAATAACCCTGGTCCACTAAACCATTATTAGATTTAATGTGTTAGTATCTGAACATCAGAGAACATTTGCCAGATTCCCAGCATTTCATGAAAACAAAATTCCCTGAGTTTTCCTGTCTATAAAACACGAAAGTTATTCTCAATGTTAGGTGCAATCCTGATTAAATAAGCAACATATTTCATTTGATTATTGAAGTGATTTGCACTTCATGGGACGGAGTCACAGATTTTWTTTATTGTGAATTTAAAGTGATTAAAAGAACCAAGTGATAGACTCACCTGGTGTAAAGCCCTGAGCTCTTAGATTTGTACAGGAAGTGTCTGAGCTCCGGGATGCCAACCTGCTCCACAGCATAACTCGGGCTTTTGAGCGCCTCCTTCAGGACCTGGTAGGCGTTGCGCTTCCCCAACCTCTCCATGAAGCGGTGCTTGCACTCCGACATGTTAAAAAACTCCTCTTTGTTGGTGGAGACCAGAATGAGGCAGAGCTCTGACGCGGGCTCCAGGTACGAAATGTGAGCGTGGAAAAACCCTTCAGTGTTGAACTTCGGCAGGCAGATGGGAGTCCAGCCCTCGCCCTCCCGGAAGGATGAAGAGGAGCCGACGAGGTTCAAGACCAGGTGCAAGTCTATGTGGTGCAGAAACTGGTCTTTCTTCCTGACGAGGGTGACCAGGCGGTCGCCGGCCAACAGAATGGAGAACACCAGGTTTTTGTCTTTGGCGGCCTGAAGGCTCGATGACACTACGTCCCTGGCAGAGCTAGCCAGGGGCAGGCAGGTGACCGCGCTAAGCAACAGCCCAGGGTCCCGCTCCAAGCGGTGCATCAGGTTGTCGATGAGGTACTCGGAGCCGGCCAGCAGGCGGCGCAGGTCGTAGTTCTGCTTGTGCTGAAAGATGTGGTTGAGCTGGGTGAGGGTGAGCAGGCTGATGATTTGATAGTAGATGTAATGAAGTTCTCGCTGCAGCTCCTTGTCTGACTGACAGGTCTGAGACACGCCCACCAGGACCAGAGGACTCTTGTTGAGGAAAACCACTTTACAACCATCTAACAGGAACATGTGGGGAAAAAAGAAGGGATGATTTAATATACAAACAGGTCCAAAAAGGTTGGGATGTAGTGCAAAATGTAAATAAAACCTCATAAACCAATGATTTTTTCCAAAATAAATGGTAAACATACTGAATGTTTAAACTAAAATGTTTATGAAAAATACAGCTATTTTGAATTATAGGGTAGCAACACATCTAAAAAAAATGGGCCAAGGGCAACAAAAGACTAACAGTAAAATCCTACAAATACTACATCTGAACTGCTGAAAGTGGCTCTCATTCTCACAGATGTGTGACAAAAATTGTGTCATTTTGTTCGCAGCTTTGAGTCTTCTGCCCTTTCATGTCCCAACTCACATACTGGAAGTGCTTGGATGTTGCATTTTCCTTCAACTACTCGCTTCAAGAATCCAACTGTTGTACATAGCAGCAGGCATTTATAAAGATGGTCAAATGGAAATAAAATGCCAAAAACTGTGGCGCTTTAACTGGGATATATTTGTAGACAAATAACAGTGTATATCTGAGGTAGACTCCAGTGGGAAGAAACCCTAGCCTCTTTCATAAGTCAAATCTGCGAAATCGCCGCACAGACCGGCCCGGCTTTATTCCTCCCTGGGTCATTCATAAAATCACAGGACAAGCTGACCAGGTCCCCCACACATGTACGCATTCATAAATGAACCAGCAGCACAGAACCAAAAGAGGCGTGGAGCAGAACTCAGCTGACGTCTGCTGCCTCGTATCAAACAAAACAAACTGAACTGACTCACTTTAGTGATCCTGTGGTGGTTAAATATTTTTAAACTAACTACACAGTTGCTGTTCTGTGTCATTTTTAGTATTCCCTCAGCACTAAATCTGTAGATTAATCCTCCGCCGCTCACTGTCTCTGCATTGTTTAAAAATTGTTTTAAATAAATTTAAAAAAATACATGAAAACAGCTCCTTATAGCGAACCTGTGGCTCAATATTTTTTAAACTACACAGTTGTTGTTCCGTGTATTTTTTAATTTTCATTCCATAATAAATCTCCAGCAGCACTGACGCCCTCCTTGTAGTCTATCAAACACGCACAAACATGGACACACACACACACACACACACACACACACACA